AGTCCCAGCTACTTGGGAGGCAGAGGCAGGAGAATCACTTGAGCCCAGGAGTTGGAGGTTGCTATGAGCTGTGATGCCACAGCGCTCTACCCAAGGTGGGAGCTTGAGGCTCTGTCTCAAAATAAAAAAATAAAAATAAAAAAATAAGTAAGATTTGTTAAGTAAAAAAAAAAAAAAAAAGAAAAAAGAAAGAAAGAAAATGGCAGTGCACAAATAGATTAAAGGTTTTTCTGAGCAAACAGAAAGCATTACTGATAAAGAGAAATCAGGCTGGCCTACAACAATCAGAACTGATGAAAACATTCCAAAAATCTGTCAAATTGTGCATAAAAATCATCAACTGACTGTGAGAGCAATAGCAGGCCAAATAAACATTGATAGAAAGACAGGAAAATCTTAACTGAAAATCTTGGCCAACAACTCATGGTTCTTACATCATGACAATGCACCAGCTCACACTGTACTATCTGTGAAGGAGTTTTTAGCCAGTAAACAAATAACTGTATTGGAACACACTGCCTACTCACCTAATCTGGCCCGTAGTGACTTTTTTCTTTATCCAAAAAAAATAAAGGAAATATTGAAAGGAATACATTTTGATGATATTCAGAACATCAAGGGTAATACAACAATAGCTTTGATGGTCATTCCAGAAAGACAGGTCCAAAATTTCTTTGAAATTGGACTAGGTGCTGGCATCAGTGCATAGTTTCCTTAGCAGAGTAGTTTTATGGTGACCATAGTGATATTTAGCAATGATGTATGTAGCTTTTTTTAGGTATGAGGTATGTAACTTTTTAAGGATAAGTTAGTGAACTTCATTGCTAGACCTTGAATGTTCCTCAGACCAAGAGCCAACGTTATATTCAAGGGTGGCAGATAAGAGAACATGTCAGTAACCACTTTTGTTGCACATTGTTCTCAAAACTCCAGACAACTCAGTCAATATGAAAAAAATATAGAAATACTTATAAAAGGGTAGAACTAATTTGTTATCATTTAGATTCTTTCTTTGTTTTTTTTTTTACTTAGATTAATATGAGAGTCCATGAAATATTTGGAGTGAATGAGGGTTTAGCAAATGACTAAAATTATATGTATGTGTATGAACTAGTAAAAGTATCATGTACAATATATACATAGTTTTCCACATGATATATAAGTAAATAAAATACTACTAACTATGTAATATGCCAGCAATAAGTTAAAAAATATAATGGAAAATTGACATTGTCCATAGATATGCAACTAGAAAACAGAAATAAAAATTGTGAACCAATGTGAAGAGCATTTTACCACAGAATACAAAAAAAGTGAATAAATGGAGACGTGCCATGTCATAAAGGTATCAATTAATTCATCATTAATTGATAAATTTAGTTAAATTTTATTCCTTGGAACTGTGAAAATGATGCCAAATTTCCTAAACAAGAATAAACATGATAGAAAGTCGAGAAAATATTGAAAAAGAAGAATTATAATCAGAGACTGCACAGGGAACTATAAAAAAAAAATTTCGAAAGCAGCAATAAATAGTGTGGTTTTGCTGTCTGAATGTAAAGAAGCCTCAATGGAGTAGAAGTTAAAGATCCACCACAGAATCAAACACACAGTATTAAGACTACTGAGAGGTGACATTTAGGGAAAGCTGGCTTGTTTAGTAAAACAGGTAGAGACACATGGCAACCTATTGAAAGAAAGGCATCCTGTTAGATTATTACCCTCTACCACTGGCAATATCAAATTCTAAATTTATCAAAGAGTTAAATGAAAACAAAGTCATAAGAAGAAGAGCTAACATTGATGAATAATTTTATAAGCTTGCGATAGAGAAGACGATAAGTACACACCATAGTCAGTAACTAGAAATGAAATTATATTCTGCTCCATAAAAATAGAAGAAAAATCTGTGTGATTTTTAAAAGCTAAGGACAAAACAAGAGAAAAATTTTTGAAAAATGTATGAGAGGAAAAAATAGTTTCTATGTATAATACGAAAATATTTCTTTAAATAAAAATAGAAAAATGTAGAAGTAATATTTATCAAACTCACCAAAGAAGAAATACAAGTAGACTAAAAATAGGTAAGAAGAGTTTAGACTCACTGGTATCCCAAGAGTTGCAAATTAATAAGAAAAGGGAATATTTACTAATATAAACTAACATTTGCCAATGTGATTAGCAAGAAGGGGGAAGAAAAGTATATCTTCAAATATTCTTTACTGTAATAAAAATTGATATGCCCTTTTTAAAGATGGTGTATTGAAGAACTCAGCCATTGCTGTTGTAGGTATTTACCATAAAGAAATATATTAAAAGTCATATAAAGATCTTTTAGACAACCTCTCCTCTCATTTCCTATTCTAGGATTTGATGATAATGTCCTGCCAATTGAAATCCATTTACATTTTTACATTCATTATTTATCATCTCGGGAGTTAAAATGTTGTCTCATGCTTTCCAAGTTTCACTATTCCTGAGCCGTGTGCTATCATAATGAAGTTCCTTTTGGGCTTCTTCATACCTGTGATTTAATTAGACTTTGTAAAACAATTACTATGTTTAGAAAAAACTGATAGCATGACAGTTTCCTTTCCTGAACCCAAAAATTGGAAAGAAAAAAAAAAAAAACACAATGGAAGGGAAAGAGGCTTGGGGAGGAGTTTTGCAAATTAGCCATCACATAAAACTCCTCTTAGTGGGCTGCTTCAGCATAGGAAAGAACAAAGAAGAAACAACTACTCTCTTTGGGTGCCAGCACTATTTCTCTACTTCAGTACCTGGACTCTTCTCGAGCAAATTTGAATTTTTTCTTCTGATTCAGGTTAGTTTTGTGACTTTCATCTCCTTGAAGACTCTGGGGCTTCATTTTATGCTATATAATTGCATGGTTAGAGACATACCCTGGGTTTCATATATGTAAGCAGAAGAAAAAGGCAACTAATTAGTATGGATACACAAGGGAAGGAAAAATAGACTAAGAATGTATCAAAAGAGGAACTCATTGGCATTTCCAGCAGGGCAGAAGACAAGTTGGGGAGAGGGAACAGTGTCTGCGGCAAGTACAGAAAAGGATTCGGTCAGTCTGCTGTGGTTTCATTTGGGTTCATTTCAGATGAGGGGATAAATGGACGGAGTTGCTGCGAACTAGAGTTCAAGGAAAGCTTCTGGAGGAGAAGAGGATATAAGTGATCAAGGACACACCTATATTATAAAAATGTGAATTGTATGTGTTAATGGCTTTTTCACTCCAACAGCCAAGGAATTCAAATACCCTGAAGAAAAGCATTTGACTGCGTTCAAAAGATGATTTTTCAAACAAATCCTTATCCAAATGGAACCGTAATAACCTTGGCATTTTAAAATGAACACTGAGTGTATGACTGTTTTTCAAAGTAATAAACGCAGTATCCACGAATTTCTGCGATTTCATTTCCCTTGTAACACGGACTAGTCTCAGAATGTTGACTGGCACTATAATCCTGTTAGGTAAATGCAGGACCTCTGAATAAACAGGGTTCTCAGGAGGGGTTACTTAGTATTATTACTTAGGCATTAGGTAAATTCATTGCTTATTAGCCTCTGCGTACACTTTCTAGAATCAACACATCAGTGGCATAGAGTAATGCCAAAAAGCCTTGCATTAAAGGAACTTAGCCAGAGACTCTAGATCTAAAAGTAGTCTCATATTTTAATACAAGCTACCATCCATTAGATCATAAACTTGCTAAAATGCAGCACAGAATTCTGTTCAGTTTCTTTTTAGATTGTGGATAGAGAGCAAAGATATAGGGAGTCAATCACTGGATGATATATTAAGGAGATAGACCTTAAGAAAAAAATGTATTTCCTTCTGGTTGAGCTGAGCAGTGAAAGGTGGATAGGATAAGGAGAAAAGTAGGGTCTTTGGGGACATTTCCAGGTAAGTGGCATTTCTCAATACCTGTTGTTACAGTGTAGTTGATATATTTTCCTTGCTCCAACCTTTGAAAAAGTGCACAGCCTGATCTGACTCTGATACTGATCCCAGATTCTTCCTCTTTGACCCCATTTTTTACCCTTTATACCATCTTCATGCCTGCTTACAAAGTTTCTCTCGCTTTTCCGCAAAAAAGTTCAGCATGTACCTGCCCCAGAGACTCTTTTTAGAATTCTCTTTCAGATGCCTACATGGCTTGGTCCCTTACCTCCTACTTAAACGTCATCAGCAAGTCCTTTTCTGACCGTATGATATAAAATAATCCCCTCCCTCCTTTATTTCCTATGACCTCCACCCTGCTCCATTTTTTTCTCCATAGTGAATATTATCATCTAATTACTTGCTGACTTATAGTCCCTTTTGGCCTATCGGGATATTTTTAAGGAGTCATGTTTGATTTGTTCACTTTTTATGTACCCCCACTGAAAGCAACATCCAGAAGAGAAAGGGTATGCAATAAATACTCATTAAATGGACAATTTGTAGAATAGTAATCTCTGTATGAAGGTGGCTGGACCACTTTTCTAAAGACCACTTACATGGCCCTCCCTCTGCCCCATGAAGAACATAGGGATTCTCTGGCCTAAAAAAGGTGCAAAAAATACCAAACTATCAACAAAGAGATACATGTATTAGTAGCAGAAGGAATTAAAAGTCATTTGGGGCACAATCTGAGTCAGGAGAGATTTTTTGATATGTGTGTATGTGTGTGTGTGTCAGATAGAAGGAAGTGACCAAAAAAGAAATTTAAAAATAAAGTCAAATGGCAAGAAATATTTTAAGAGTCAAAATCTGTATTTAAAAGAAATCTACTTTGTACTTGACAATGAGAGATCATCCTGTGAGGTAAGATTTTTTCTGTCACTCTGAGAACCTTGGAAAGGCATGACAGATTTGAATAATATATTCCTTAAATGCACTAACCAGCAATTTTAGGGGAAAAAAACCAATGGATTATAGGGAAAAAATACATGCCAATAAAAATCTGATTTTGTATTAGTGCTTCCTCACACCAGGAACGATGCCACGGAAGAGAATTGCAGTGATTGGAGCTGGGGTCAGTGGATTAGGTGCCATTAAGACCTGTCTGGAAGAGGGACTGGAGCCTACCTGTTTTGAAGGAAGCGATGACATTGGAGGGCTGTGGAAATATGTGGTAAGTTTGGATAGTCTTATACTACTACATGTCTGAGGACTTTTTTCCATACCTGAGAAATAAGAATGCAAGGATTACAGCACTAATTTATCCTTCAATTACCTGCATAATAGTAATTATTTTTGTTAATGCCTACACCTGTGTGCAGTCATTCCTTCCTTCAGGAGTCGAGCTTCTTGGAGGAGGAATGTATCTCGCCCCCTGTGCTGCCCCTCTCCTGTATTTCAGCCATGGCTACATGAGGGACAGACCCAACACTTTCAACAACTGTTCTCATTGCCGCTGCCATTGTTGTCAAATGAAATGGACTTTCTGTCCTAAATGTTCTTGCTGCATCAAGGGGATTTAACAAATGTTAAAACCCAATTCCTTCCTAAAACACTTTTCCCTCGCTTTTGTGATTTCACTCTCTTTCCTTTTCAATCTTTTTCTTCCTATCTTCTAAATGTACCTGCTTGTGACTTTATTTTCAGTCTTCTGGTCTTTTAACTCTTTTCAAGTTCCTTAGGATACCTCCTTATCTCCCACTTGACTTCCTTTACCACATATATGTTGGTACCTGATCTTTAAATCTTTATCTTCAGTGTAACCACACACACACTCACACCTGGGCAATTAACACTAATTGTCCCACATTCCAGCTCAAATCTCAAAAGCCGAGCGCAATAACAGTTGTTTCTGACCTACATCAGGTTAGCTATGAGTAAATGGCCCTTTTATGCAACTTAAAGTTATAGCCCAGGCCCATATGGCTCCAGCCATTCCATGGAGGGGGCAAAGAGAAGGTGGAGGGTCACTGACTGCTAACTGCCTAGGGCCAGCCCGGAGGTGGAGTGGCTGCTGCTTTTGCCAATCTCTGGCATGTCTCACCAACACTTGATGACTGTTCAGATCTTTCATTACCTGACTAATTCCCTGTGTCAAGTTAAGTTTCCATGTTCCTAGCAGACCTGACTGATAGAGACACATTTTTCAGGAAAACTTCTCATGCCCCACCCAGTGACCACAGCACCCTGTGCACACACTGCTATTACTTCTGTCACTCTGCAGGTGATTGTTGAGCTCCTCTGTAAGTTTTTTTTTTTTAAAGCATTTTATGTAAATTCTTTGATCTTCACAATTACCCTGTGAGGTAGACAAGGACTTATTTACAAATGAAGAAATAGAGTCAGAGAATGGTTTGGTATCAGCTTCCTTTTTCAAACTGTGCAGTGATAGATCTCAAGGACCACATCAAAATATCACAAAATAACCACATAATGTCATCTAATTTCACTGATGCTCATATTTAAAACTATTGCTTATAACTCCATACTAAAATGAAGCCAGTAGAGGATCTAATACATGCCTACATAGAGAAAAACACAAATCAATTCAAGTTAGGGGGAAGAGGAACAAGGGAGCAGGGAGAGGGGAGGAGAGAGGAGAACTCATGTGCTCTGATGTAATGGGAATAATGTTAGAGTGTGTGGCACACCTCTTGAGAGCAGGACAGAATCATGAAAAAGACTCTATCTAACAAATGCAAGCATTATAACCTAATTCTTTGTACTCTCAGATTAACCTGAAACAATAATAAAATAATTAAAAATTTAAAAAAGAAAAACAGGATGGAACCAAGATGGTGGAAAAATAGAGAGTGTCACCGTGACCCCAGGAAAATGCTGCTCCTTCTATGAATATCCCTTCTCTTGTTTAGCCTGTTGCTTAAATATACATAGAAGGGTAATAGGAGCCAGGGGTCTAGCTCTCTTCTGCATAGAGAACTACTTTCTGCTCTGTCTCTGGAGTAGACTTTTTATAGTTTCTAAATAAATCTCACTTTCACTTTGTAAAAAAAAATAAATAAATAAATAATGCTATCACTTATAAAAAGTACTACCTGTCATATTTACAGATTATTCCTATCAGAAGAGGTATTTCAGTATACAACTACATTAATACAATGGGTTTTATTTTTTAAAATGCTCACCACTGCCCTTTGAAGAAGAAAATACGCATTTTGATCTGTTCTTAAAGCTGTGTGGCTTTTGTGGCTGTGTGTATTTTGTGGCTTAAAGTTTAGAATATTCATTGCCTATGCATTAGTGACCCTTTACCTCACGTCAATAGACAGGTCAGAGGAAATCCCAAACAGCAAACATAGGCCACTCTGTTTTGAGCATAAGACATTCCATCTTAGCTGTTCAGTGATCTCTGCTGAAACCACCCTCTTCTGGAACCCAGCCAGAAGGAAGGAGGAACTAAGGAACACAAAGGTTCCAG